AGCAGCTTTCCCCATACATCACTTCTTTACTAGTCAGGATTTCTGTTTATCTACCTACCTATATGTTTTCATGAACATTTATCTCCAAAGAACAAACATTAATGGCTCTTTATGATGCCATTGGTGAAAAGGTCTCTTCTCCTTTTAATTTATCTTGTTCTATTGCATAAGTTTGTTGTCTTTTCAACTAGTTTTTTATATTTCCATCTAGAGTAATTTTAGTAAGGGAGCCAAGTTCAATGTATTGAGAATTGTCCAGCATGACAATGACATTTGTGTATCTGCAGATGAGATGTAAACTATGGGTTATTAACTTTAGGTAAAATTGGAGATTGCTCTTCAAAGAATAGAAGGTAACACCCCATGAGGAGACAGGAGGATGGCTGCTCAGGTAGAGGGATCTGAGGTCACCAAAAGACTATTTCTGGAGTAATTGGTTTGCATCTCTGGAAACCTCTTGCTACAGAAGAAAAATATAGTCCTTGGGAGGAGTGATGCTCACTAATCCAGCAAGTCTAACACAATGTCTCGTACAGAGCATGTGCTCAGTCACTATTAAGTGAGCACATTAGTATCAGGTGGCTGGTGAGGTAGTTGCCATCTTGGGAAGCAGGACTGAGGCAGTGGAGATGCCTTCTGCTGAGCTCCCCCAGCACCTCGGGTCTGTGCATCTCACTACTCACCTCTCTGCCTGAGTCCCCCATTAGGGTGCGAGTTCTTTAGGGGAAGGGCTGGCTTTAATCTCCACAGGCCCTGCACCCAGTCTAGTGCCTGGGGCGTACTGTATTGTCGGACATGGCACTAACCGAGCATTAGGGAATGAATGAATGAATGGATACAATTCTGATTGGCTTGGGGTGGGAGAGGTGGTTGGGTGTGGCCCAGCGAGCTGCTGCAGTTTAGGTTCTAGGAAGGGACGAAAAGTGCCCTAAAGGGCAAGAACAAATTCTGCAAAAATGTCATAATTTTATTCAGTGCCTAAGAGTGAGTATATTGTTTTTATTAAAATAACCTTTTTAGCCCTAACCAGTTTGGCTCAGTGGATAGAGCATCGGACTGCGGACTGAAAGGTCCTGGGTTTGATTCCGGTCAAGGGCATGTACCTTGGCTGCGGGCACATCCCCAGTGGGGGGTGTGCAGGAGGCAGCTGGTCGATGTTTCTCTCTCATCGCTGTTTCTAACTCTCTACCCCTCTCCTTTCCTCTCTGTAAAAATCAATAAAATATATTTTAAAAAAATAACCTTTTTAATAAAGTGTTCAAGTAAGGGTTTATCTTTTATCCAATAGCTCCTTGCTCATTCCATGATGTCCTTAGTTTGTGGTTCAAACCTTTCCCTTCATGTGGTTTTCCTTCAAGCCTTTTTCCCACTCCCTGTACTGCCGCCAATCTAACCTGTCCTCACTCCACCTTGTACAGCTAACCACAGGGGGTCCGGGAGGGCAGGGCTGGGTCAAACCAGTCCTGAGTTCAGGTCCTACATCACGACTTACTACCTCTGAGTTCCAGAGCAAATTATACTTTGCTTCTCTGAGTTTTAGTTTCTTCACCTTAATAAAATACTTCTTTGAGCTTTGGTTTTCTCATCTTCAATGAAATCTACCTTGTGGGATCATTATAAGGATTAAATGACATAAAGCCCACAGCACTGTACCTGGCAGGTGGGAGGCACCCAGGAAAGGTGGGTGTGCCCCCATCCTTTTATCCCTCTCTGCCTGGAAGGTCAGTACTTACCACTCGTCCTTCCCCAATTAACTCGTATCTACTGATTGTTTGAGGCCCAGTTCAAAGATCACTTTCTCCACAAAATCTTCTCCCCAGTTGAAAGCAATCTTTCCTCCTCCCGTAGTGTGTCATCTTCTTCTGAATATCTAAGGTATTTAACCACTTTCTTCCTGGTGGCTAAGTGATTGCTGTGTTTTATCTCTTTGCCTGTCTACAAGTCCCATGAGGGTCACCTGCCTACCTTTTAATCCTGTGTTTCCCCAAAGGACCCAGCAGAGTAACCTGCATACAGTAGGTGCTAAAATAATGAACTGAATATGTGCAGAACAGTTTTCTATATTTAGGACCTCACCACTCAATTTCCCTTAGGGTGGGGTGGCATATATAAATCCACTTGAGTGGGAAAAAACCCTCAGGCCTCATTGCCAGTAGCTGACATCATCCAACATCCAGAGAATTCCCTGAAAATAGTTACAGATAATGACTAGTCCCATGGGCATTTACGATAAAGCTCTGCTCAAGGGGTAGTCACATTCTAAGATTCTAAGATTGTGAAAAGAAATGCTTAAACAGAGGTGCGTATTTCCTGAAGGCTGGCTTGTCCACTGATACCCCAAACATCTCCATCTTCATTACACTTCCTTACATTGTACAACATGGAAGTGACATCAATCCCAGTTATTATTATTTGTACTGGCCGGGAGAGGCCCCTAGAGTCTGCAGGAATCCTGCATGCCAGTTGCCAGGTCTGAGGTTACTGAGCTAGTTCTGAGTATTTTAGATGGGATCCCAGAATCAGGTGTAAGCCTGGCTTGTCACGGAGGCAGCTGCCAGAGGGTGTGGTTTGAAGTGTCTTCTAGATGGAGACCTGCTGTTCCAAGCCTCCTTTCTAGGAGTGCCCAAGGGGGACTGCGGCGTGTTCTGAAGACTCATCTTTCAGAGGTTCCCATTCCAGGGGAAAGAGAACACCTTCTCCGGCATTTCCAAAGCAGTCTACACCAGGCTTCCTGGAAGAATGGGCTCTATAGCCAATGAAGTCTGCGAAGTACTGCAAACTCCGTTCCTTTTGACAATGCGTTCTGGGCTGCAGTGCACGGTACCACTGAGGCTCTGAATCCCCTGGTAAAGAACCTATTTAACTTAGAAGCTCTCTCACTTACTTAATGAAATCAATCTTACTTTCTTGTTTTTTTTTTTCTGTGTTGTTACAAGATTCCTATGGACATCACATGAAACTAGTATTTCATAGAGTACACTTTAAAAATGCTGCCTTCATTACTATTAGCTATCTCCGTGATGGGAATAAATGTTCAGTTAAGAACAGGATACAAAGAGACATGCATGAAGGGAGAGGAAAGTCAAGAGAAGAATAAGAAGTGTTTGAGGCGACCCTTGAGGCCCCCGAACACAATGTCACAGTCGTGCCAGGGTCCGGGCCAGGGCCGGCTATGGCCATCACTGCAGACATTACTTTGACTTTGTTTCCCTGCCCAGAAAGCCCAGCCATTAGCAAGGGCAGTCATCAGACTGGAAGTAGCCATTTTGCATCTTCATGTGATCTGGTGTAGGGAGGAAGAGAAAGGGACGCTTGGGCAGCAACCCTTGTTCAAATGGATGTGGAAAGAGGAAAGAAACCAGGTAAGAGAGAAATGAGGCAACTGAGGCAATAGGGAGGCAGAAGCTCTGGCCATGGGAACCTAAGGGTGGAAGGCAAAGGACAGGAGGGGGTAGAAAGTGAAGGGTCGTGACAGGTCAGGTAGGAACTAACAAACGTACCTGCCACCTGAGCCACGAAACAGAGGCTTTGGGCTGGGGAGACGCGGGAGAGCGATCGAATGATAAAGTCAGTGAGTCCCAGCTCTGGCTTCTCAAGCCAGTCCCACTAAGAGCCAAAGTGGGCTGAAGACATGGAATAGAAAGAGCCAGGACAGGTGCCTGCCTCTAAGGTTTGGGTTGTCTTTCTTGGCGCTCAGTGGTAGGACACTTATTCCCATAGGTGGTTCCTGCTGTTGGGCCCTCACTGCCCCAAGGGTCTGCATTTCCCCAAGTTGTGGGGAGAGCCCTGGGGTGGCTACAAGGGGGCCTAGGCTGAGACCCCAACCCTGTTGCTTTAGGAAACATCACAGTGGTTCTGAAAGCACAGGGATAGCAGGAAAGGACCCATGGGTAGTGCAGAAGCCAGAGCAGGGAGGGGCTGTGAAGGGCTTCCTCTTGCTGTCAGATGTTGCTTCTGGCATGCAGAGCCACTGGGAGATCTATGGCAAGCTAAGGCAACTTCGAAATGCTAGAGGCTGAAAACAAGATATGCAACCCATTTGGGAGTATCTCTCACATTGAAGGATAAAAATAGCTGATTCCCCTTCTAGGGGTACCTTTGATATCTTATCAGTATCAGTGTAAAAGTCATGTAGAAACCCCAAATGTTTTTATAACTTACACACATTGTTTATTATTCAGTGAGATGAGGAAGAGGGCAATAGGACAAGTCCCTTTATAAGAATGCAAACTTTCCAAATTGCTGTTCCATGGTGAACTAATCCCAGAACAATGATCAACTGGGGCAAAGCTGTGCCCTGGGATAGTGCCTGGAATTCATTAGTAAATACATTTAAAAATAAATCTGTCAGACTCCATTTGCCCCAGGGAAATGGTTAAAATTATATGCCAGAGCTCGTAGGGGATGAATCTCAACATGTACCAATCTACCAGCTGGAATGCTGACTGACCCTGGTCTCTCAGAGTAATGACTTTGCTGAGTCAGCAGGAACTGTGGGAGCTGAGGACATGAGCCGACAGCAACCCTGAATCAGAAACGGGTCTCTAGCTGGTTTGGGGTCCAGGAGTTACTTTAGGTCGCTTATTCCTTTGTGTAAATCAGAGTATCTCCAGGACATAAACCCCTCTCTGAAATTAAGGGAGGAGTGTTGGCTGGAAGTGTTTCTCTACATTGTCGTGAGCATGTGGAGGAAGCAATGCTGACACAATGGGTGTGTGGCTGTGTTTACGCTGCCGACACCATTTCTCTGAGTGGGTTCCACAATCACAATGGATTGGATCTTTTGAATGGAATAACATGATTACCCATGGTATTGCACATCTCCAATTCCAAATGAACACGATGGCAAAAACTGGACGAAAACGCAGAAAGAATAATAATTCACACAATGTCACGGAAGTCATGCAAAGAGGGAGAAAATGACTTTAAAAAAAATGGGCAAGCAACAGACACTAGAAATAAAAGAAAGCCAATGCATACAATTCTAAAATCATTCTTACCTTCTTCAGTCATTGTGTCATAATATTTTAGTTTTCCATATGATCCAAGTTCTACAACATCACAGTAAAAGACACAAAGATAAGGAACGAGCTATAATGCAAGAACTTTGTTTTTACACATTCTTAATTAATCAGATTCAGAGTTACTGTCAAACTCCTCAATCGTAACTATATAGAGATGTGCAAACACGGGCCATGTGGCAGACAGTTTTCACGCCCATCTTCAGAAATCACTGAAAACATACTTTCCACTGCGGGTAGGATGTCTGCATTACAGAACAGGGCACAGTGATTTTCACATCTGATGAAACAAAATACTCGGCAAAGGTAACCCCACACCAGGTCGACCCTAGCCCGATAATTTTTATAAATAATTTTTATTTTCACTCCAAGAGAGAGGCTGAATGAGAACAAGGTCCGGGCCCACGGAGGCCTTGCCGTGGGGCAGCATTCCCAGAAGTTCATGTCACAGTCCTGCTGCAACAGAACAACTTCCTAGAGATTGAGGAAGGCTACCTGGGAAAACCAAAACTGAAAAACCAGGCTCTAAACTTCCCTTTACATTCTCATCTAGCATTTTAGACAGAAAACACGGAATACTAATGGTGCAGCATCCTGGGAGGAGCTGTGAAAAGTGCAGAGTGCTCTGGGAGGAAGAGAGAAGCGTGTTTCCAGGGAAGACCACCTGGCTCAGACAGGTGACAGAGCTGCCACAGCTCCCAGACCGAGGCATCGCCCGCTGCTGGTGGACTGCAGGCGGCAAGAGGTGACCAGCAGCCTCTGGGTGCAGATCACCAAAGGCGTGGCTGTGATGGAAACCATTGGCAGAAAGCTAGTTGTTCTGAGTCAGCTGGTGGGAGTGGCAGCTTGGGTGGGGGAAGAGATGGTGATGTGTCATTTCTTTCTTCTTTCTTCTTCTTCTTCTTCTTTTTTTTTTTTTACTTGTTCTAAAATAGAAACTTTATCTGAAAATTCCAGATTTCTAAAGCAACCTTTGTAAGCAGGTAAAAAAATAAAATTTTTCTTGTTGTGACAACACTCTCCCAATACACTTCAAGCAATTAATTAGACTCAAGAGATATCCCTGTGGTTCTGCAGAAAGCTTCCATGGCTCATTAACTTGGGCCGCCATGGAAAACCCACATATGAATCATCTAGTAATGGATGGGTTTTGTGTTTGAGATGAAAGCTCCAGCTTAAAACACAATAATATTCTTCTAGTTTATATTTATATTAGACATTCTTTATCTATCCTTTTGCCACGTGCCTAAAATTTTACCTAATGCTGTTTTAAAACACCAATACGAAATTATGCTTTCGGGAGAAAAATCACCTCATCTTTATGTTTCTACAAAAAGCAGCCTATTCTGGATTTTGTAAGACGCATCACAAAGGATGCAAATGCTTCAATAAAAAATTGAATTTTGTGTAAATAACAAGGACGTTTTTTAATGACTTCTGGGGATTGCCTTCAGTGAAATGTACACTTTTTTGGATTTTAAAAACAGCAGCCTGTTACATGCATGGCATTGCACAAGTTTGGAATTGGTAAATGATCTAAATAGCTTCATAAATATTAAACATGCTCATAATGGCTTTACACACACAGTGTGTGTGTGTGTGTGTGTGTGTGTGTGTGTGTGTGGTCTTGCAATAAGTGGATGGATTATATCAGCCAACTAATTTTTTAACCTCTACTCCTTCCCTGAGGTAAAACAGTAGAATAAGCAGCTGGCATAATCTATTATTTGCTCAGGAAACAGAATGTGGGTGGCTCTGTGTTTGCAAAATCGGGCGTAAAGCATATCCTACAGTGAAGACGCACTGTTGCATTTTATGAACCTTTTCGATGCAACCTCTGTACTCACACAACTGTTTCCGAACTGTCACACATCCACTTGTGGCAGAAATGATTATGCTTTGCCTAGTCTCCTGTGGAACCAGGTATAAGTCAATACAATTGTATTCTTTAATTATTTTACTTTTGTGTTGTCGAAAGTGGAACTGTTTGTGCCTGGCATCGCTCATACATTCTTAATGCTGTGACAACGTCTAGATTGTTTCTGAGTTGCTTCCTTGGATGGTGAATGGGACAGAGGGACAAGAACTGAAAAGAACATATCAAAATGGGCTAAAAATGGTGGAAGAGAAGGAATCAGAGTAGTGAAAAGCTGAATAACCATAGGCGACATAGCAACGCAAAGCACAGTGAGGAAGGAGGGCAAGGGGGCAATACCTGCCCAGGTGAAGGGAACTGTGTTTGTTGCCCACGAAGGAGAAGGCAGAGAAGAGTGTGAAGAGAACCAGCCTGCTAGAACGGGGTCTTTCACACCGACAGCAATGGGATGGTGGGACGGTGAACTCAGGGCTCTGTGTTCTCAAGGGGACAGGGCAGTATCTCCAAGAGCCCAGACGCTCTCCCCTGAACCAGGGCTTCAGGGGGTGCAGGAAGAGAGGTGTGACAGGCGACTAGGATGAACACAACATACACATGTCAGTCAGAGCACACGGTGCACTTACGGCCTATGGACACCTCGTGGAAAGTGGCCTCAGCCACTGTGACCTCCAGTCAGCACACTCCCCGTGGAGAATAACTGAGGCACCTGTAGCATCACTAGATTAGAGTTCAAACTGGTCCTAATCCAAGCTGAGTTTCTTTGGGATCGGAGGGAGGAAGAGAGGGAGTTCAAGAGAGTGCCGTTGAATACTACCTAGCAACGCCTATTATATTAACTAAGAGGCAGCCAGGATCAGAAGAGGGATGAATCACTGGGAAGTTTCTCCTGGGTACCACTTGGTGCCTTTTCTCTATAACATTTCCCTAAGAAGGCCACACAGCCTAAGAAAACATTCCAGAACCCAGTGGTTTGGGATGAGCCGTAAGCTGATCATGAATGCTGCCTATCATGGCGACCGCACTTGCTTCCATGCCATTTGGACAGCCCGGGGCCACAGGCATCCAAGCTCCCAGCTCTCTAAGAAGGGTGGAACCTTTGTCATTCCTCAGTCCACTTCCTTCCAGGTATTGTCAGCAACATCACTACCTGGCTTTAAGATCCCTTTGAGTTCTTGTCCATACTTCATAGTTGATGAGTTAAGGGAAGGGTTTTGTCTTTAGTCTCAAAGAATCTGTGAGTAAGAACTAGTTCTGTTGGCTCCTAATTTTCCTTTCTGAAGGAGAGTCTGGATACAGATTCCTTCTTCCAACACTGACTTTCTCAGCTCCAGTTTTGAGGTCTATTGCATTCTCAACCTCTTTTCAGCAAATCTCCTAGATAGGAGTAGCAGAAAAATAACTTTTCATATTTCAGGCCTCAAAATTCTGACAAAAAAACCACACACACACACACAACACAAAACAGAGTCAATAGAAGCATGTATGCTTTCCATTTAAGTAGAATGGAAAGTAGATGTAGAGAAATCAATGAGAATAAGTATTTATTACTTAAGTGGCTGATGGAGAAAAATATGATTAACTTGTATTGTTGTTTTTTTAAATAAAAGAATTGCTTTATTTTTGGTATTGGTTTGAACTGAACGTGAATACCTAAAAATTAAGGCTTTCGCAGTGCAGACAGTAGCTGCTTGGTAATGACTAATACCTATCAGAGAAGTTTGTATAGCTACTAGATTGTATCACACCCACGGGAGGATTATTTTCAGTAGTGAGTGGAAGTTGAAAATATGGACTCTGAAGCTAAGGTGTACTTTTGAACCCCAAATCTGCTACTTATTAGCTGTGTGACTTTGAGCAAATTGGTTTGACCTTCTGATCCTCCAGGTCCTCAGCTATAAAGAAGCATAATTGTATGTACCCCCGAAAGTCGTGGTGGAGAGTAGATGAGATAATGACACCCACCAAACAATTGATAATGAGCAGCTTTTTTATTGTAAGCACCACCAAGAAGAGTAAGGGAGAACGCAATGGGCCATGGAGCAGAGCATTTAGACAACTTGGTATTTTACACAGGCTTGATAAAACAAATTCTATACTACTTATAGAGGTTTTAAGTAGATCACTGTTGTTCGGCAACAAAAGATATCTGCCATGTTGGGAAAGATGCTTAAAGGAAATTTCTCCATCAGTCCTGCTCTTCTAGTCTCAGGTCTATGGGGAATATTAACCAAGAGCACAACCATGGGAGCAGGATGTGACAAGTGGACTCTTCATGCATCTGACCACCACTTATCCAGCGCTGGACCTAGGCACTTTCCCTTCTCATATTTGCACTCAAGCCTGTCTCTCGAACTGCACTGTCCATATTTTGGCGGCAGAGACCCTATTCCTCTCTAGGTCCCTCCCAACAGAACCTAGAACAGTGCTCTCCTCATGTTATGTGCTCCTCTATACTTTTAATGAAGTATGCAAACGCACAGTCTCAAATGACAGTGAGGTTTAGGGTGCTTTGGTTTGCTGAACTTCCCTGGACTTGCTGAAGCCAGGAATACAGACACTGAGTCTGAAGCTTCTTGACTGTTGACACCACATCATCACTATCAACGTTAAGAGTGCTCCTGAGTGAGACAGACAAGACAGTCAATCCAAAGTGTGGCTTTACTGCTGATGAGTTGGGTGATCCTCTCTGAGCCTCAGTTCTTTCTTTTGCCAAATGGGGACAAGAGCAATACATACCTATTCTTAAGGCATTTTTTGATGATCAGGTGAGAGCATGTCTATTAAGCACTTTGTATTGGGGTGCCAAAGACAGCATAATAATAAAAGGCCAAGAGGCGTCATGACCAAAACGACCAAACAAACGGTCACCATGAAGTGCATGGAGCACCTCTTGGTCCCTCCCCCATGGCCCACAGGCTCCAATCGCAGCCAGACTGGTGGCTGGGCGGGGCTGTGAGCATTGCGGGGTGGCCGGTGGGTGGGCAGGGCATGCGCGGGTGGGCGGGTCTGCACGATTTTGTGTGCTGGGCCTCTAGTCCTATAAAATAAAGAGCTAATATGCTAATTAGACCGGATGGTGGAACAACCTTCAGGAACGACCAGTGGGCGGGGCTGCGAGGGCCAAGCCCCTTGCATGAATTTTGTGCATTGGGCC